ACCACCCCTTGACCAAGGCCTGTCCCGTCCCGCACTAACGATCCCGAAACAGATAAGTCCCGACACCAGAATTCCAGACAAGCGAGAGGCCAAACAAGAGAGGAAGAGAGAGAGAGCACTCTGAGAGTCCAAGAGTGAGAGCCCCAGAGGAGCAAAGGTCCTTCTTTCCAGCTAACCCTCATCTTTATACTGGACGTGATGCTGCATGATATGGAATATTCCATGGGCCAATTCAGCCCTCAATCCTAAATCTAAATTCAAATCATAAGGGGAATTGTGGACCCTCTGTCCCGGCCATGCTTCCCCGCAGCCTGTTGTGCTCCTGCACGCTGGCAAAAACAAAGGAAGCTGAAAAATCCTTGAGGTCTCAGCACCAACTATAAACATCAGTACGCTCCCAACATTCTTCTCATAATGAGTCCCAGACTAAAACCAAAACACAGAGTTCTAGCTGCTAAAAAGAAGAACTAACTGTCCCAGCTGAAACCAGGACAGGGAGTTTGGTATATATTTAAAATTGTCATTTTCCAAAGTCCAGAGTGTGCTAGAAAAGGAATGGCACGGAGAAAAATAGGGAAGCAGTTTTTAGGAGCAACAAATCTATTGGACAAGCCTGTACTTGCACTGAACTCCATCCTTCAGTGATTCTTAAGCTGTGACTGGATTTGGAAACAGTGTGGTGAAGTGTCTGACTGACTGGGAAGATAACGTGAATAGCAATGTTGACTTGGAAGCAGGGCTGCTCAAGGATGTGGTGAGAACGATAGCGTTTACTTGGGAAAGGAGCCACATTGCAAGATAGTTTGGTAAATGCCGTTCTATGTTCTAAATGATGCTGTTCAATTTTGCTTAAAAAAAATCTTGTTAGCTGAGCATCAATTACATAATCTTGCTAATTGGTTAAATGGACAGGCTAATAAACACTAATGAACAATCAGCATTCAATATTGTTCTAGCTGTCCTGTGGCAGCAAAAGCATTTTTACATCACAGACTGCTTGCCTGTAAATTATATCTAAGGTTGAAATGAGCATTTCTACGGGACTATTTTCTCTAAATTTTTTAGAAATACTTTAATGAGAAATAGAGAAACAATGCATTATATTGTTCTAAGTGAATAAGGTCCCTTTTAAAAGTAGTATTTGCCCTAAGTGGCATGTTGTACTAGCCTGGTTCTTGAGGTCTTTTTAATAAAAGCTGTGGAATGCTTAAACAAAACAAAAAAAATGAAAGAATGAAAGGTACTTTTTGTTGTGAGAAGGTGAGACTGAGTGAAATAATTAGGTGGGGAAAAAAATCAGGCTTTAGTTGTGCTATGTCATTCTAAGTACTTATCCCTTATGCAGCTGTTTCAGAACTGCTGTGCTAGGCATTAGCTAATTGTCAGTGTCCTTAAGGGGGGAGGCAAGTGGTGTATTTTCAGCGATGTAAATAAGGAAAGTAAGATAAAAGCTGTTACGCTTGAGTTACACTGCTTTGGATTTTAAGGTAAACTTTATAATTTGTTCACCTGTTTTGCTTACAGACTCAGCATACTACAGCTAAATACCAAATCTTTGCTTAATACAAACCTTTAAGAAAAAGGAAGCATTGCAAAATCTCTTGCTCTTATATATTAATATGCAGTGTGAGCTTGAACCATAAAGTATTCTTCAAATATTTTGCCTTCTTCTTCAATCGGGTCTTATCTATACTGTATTGGGTTTTTTTTGCCAGCAGTTTGCATATATCTGCTGGCAGCAGATATCTACTGAATGTACACAAAAGGAAGCTTTCTGTTTGATGGAAATCATTTTCCCAGACAACGCAAATATTTATTGGGTATGCATCAGCTGCAGAAATGGAAGTACTTCAGTGACCTTTTATTGCTTTTCTCTTGAAGTCCCCAAATCTGCTTGTAATGTACTATTCTGTGTCAGTGGAGCCTCTTGGGGTGATGGCTGTATTACACTGACCTGTTAAGTTATATTAGTGCTTCACTGACATAGGAATACTGAAAGAAAAAGTCTTGCCAAAACATGATGAGCATCTCTAGGGTCAGGGCCTTACAGTCTACTTAGACTTGAGAAATGCATTATATACTTCATTTTATAGATTAAAGAAGATAATTTTCTGTGCTCTAAGTTATAATTTAGCTTTGAAATACTTACAAAAGTATATGCTTCCACAGCAATATCTCTTTTCACTGTAGTAACTATATGCAAATCTGAAAAGGTATTCTTATCTGTCTTATTAATTAATTTTTACATATTCATGCATGTGAATTAATTCACGTTGGTGTTATCTGATCTTAACCACCTGTTTAATTGACTGTGGCATGAAATCTTTTGTCTTTTTCTTTAATAGCTGTCTGGACTGTAAGCCTTGGAGGCTGTATCCAACATAATTAGAGCAAAATGCAGATGTGTGAGACAGGGAAGGCAGCTTCCCAGCAAAGACAGCAGAAAACTGACAGGTTTTTACTCTTCTTGTGATATGCAAAGGGAAAAAAAAAGACAAAAAAAGACATCTCTTTTTCTGAGACAGGAGAGGAAGTTTGGTTGTACATTGTTAATTTCTTGCAAGTTTGCAATCTAAGTAGCTGCAGACATTTTCCTTTGAGAAATACGTTCATATTCTTTCTCTTCAGTTGTAGTGTACCTGTGGAAATACCATTACTTTATTACATAAAATGCACTCAGGAGATTTTTAATATATATTTATTGACATGTGACCTATACAATTAAATTTAGTGAGATTAAATTAAACAGATTTTTTTACTGTATTTCTGTAGATACTGTAGTGATTTGTTTCTCTTTAGAGCTTGTGAAAATATTGTAGATGCTGACTGTCGATAACAAAGTTACTGGTCTTTCCTTTTTGTTGGTATTGGCCAGAGCTGTATTTGAGGAAAGGGAGAGATTTGCAATAGAACCACAGTACAAGATTTCTTGGCAGCTAGAGAAAAGTCAGGTTAAAGGTAAAAGTCATGCATACTGTGGGGAATAAGAACGTCATGGGAAAAAGAACTTGAGTTTGTAGTGAGACTAGTGTAAGAATAATTGTGTCGTTTGGACAGATGAGCTGGGCTAATTATTGTATGAATTATATTACTCCTTTCTTTTAAGAACCCTCTTTGTACCCTTGCGTATTTAACTTTGTCACCTTCTGATTTTGCTGGTTTTGATTCTGTAATTTACAATTGTAAGAAAGAGAGATTCCTATTTGAACATTGTGTTGTGGTTCTCCTCTGGATTCATTTAAGTGTGATATCTTTATGACTCAATATCCTGGAAGGGTTCTGTGAATTAAATATTTATGCCATACTACAGCACAAAGAGATGTTTGGATAATATTTTACTTGAAGTAAGCAAAAAAGATCTGAAGATGAAGCAGTCTTATTACAGGTCACAATATTTGCCTCCTCTGGCTGTTTATGTAATTAGGAATGAACTAATGATAAGGGAGAGAGTGCTCGTTTTGTTTGCTTTTTTTCAATCCCTCTGTTTGCTAAGACGGAACAGGCATTGGGTAGAAGTTGTGACCACCGTTTTCAGGCAGTAGGATTTTTGTATCTATTTTTTAGGTATCCGTCATAGTATTGCAGTTTTTAATACTAGAATTGTATAGATTCTTGGATGGATGCTTCTGTACATACAGTTGATACAAATTAAATACCTGCATAGTGGTAATAAGATTTGTAAAGCTAACTATTTGTAAACTGGTTTTGGTAAGTGGATATTTGTCATTGTTTGTTTGTTGCTCTGTAAGTAAAAGCCAAGTTATATTCTTAGAGTGAAATCAGTTTTTAAATATTATTTATATGAGTGTTCATCTGAAAAGGTAGATAAAAAGACCATAAAGCCATGACTGACTCTATTATAAATGATCAATGTTCCCCTCCAAATAAAAAAAAAATAATTTCAATGGAAGCAGCTCTGATCATTTAAAGTATGTATAAAATACTTTTTGTCCCTGATTAGCTTAAGTTTTATACCCTACACAGTATTTAATAGTTTAGTTTAAATTTGTTACAACCTTTTATCTTTGAAAATTGTATTGAATTATTGTATCACGCCACGCTTGTCTGTGACTTCTTTGTGCCGGTTTGATCCATGTCTCTTTAAACTCATCTGGTCTCAAATAGTTTTCCTGCTGTCTCTGTCCTGTGAATTTAATAAAACTGATTCTGAAAGTATGGTGCTTTTTTAACATTTTACTGAACTTCATTGATATATCTTTTTTTTTTCCTCTCCTTTTTTTTTTTTGTCTGCTCTCTCCCCACTCACTTTTCTTTTTAAAGGAATCAGTCAGCAAATGAAATAGCTTCTGCTTCCTTATTTCCTATTTCAAAATGTTTTGCAGATCTGAATAACTGTTTATTTTAGTTTTGAAGATGTTTTGCTATGTGTAAATATATTTTGTGTTAAACCTTGACTATAATGTTTTTGTACAGGCCTTGGATAAGAGCAACAGACTATCGGAAAAGGAACTTGCGGAAGCTGCAAGCAAGTGGGCAGCTGAAAAGTCAGAGAAGGCTGATGAAAGCAATTTACCTGAAATAACAGAGTATGATGTAAGACAGGACTATTAATTGATTTATTTTAAAGCGTTACAACAGTAGATTCTTGGTTTTCTGCAGGACACATTTTGTAATTTACCCCTGAATTTGTCTGTCTGTGCTATCAGAGAGCGAACACAAGTTAGCAATTGCTAATATGAATGCTTCTAGGTGTTCTCAGACCACCTGAACATTCAGCCCAGCACCAGTCCAGAAAGGGCTGGGCTTCTGGGACTCCCCTTGTCATCTTATGCACCTGAACTGTGTTTGCAGTTCCCTGCCTTTCTGTCGTGAACAGATTGACAGATACATGATGTGTCTTTTTAATCATATAAAGGCTACTGGCATGTGATTTGTAGGATTTTCTAAGTCAATCAGCCAAGACTGATAAGATTGGTAGGGAATGGTTTCTGGCAAAGAGAAGGCAGCAGTACCCTAAAGATGATGTCTTTTACCTAGCACCTATCGATGCAGAAGATGACATCTTTTGTCATTTAAAACAAACCAAATGTGACGTAATATCTTTTTGTCAAATAGACTGGTTTAATCGTGTGATCATTTCAGCAGTCTTTCTCTTCAGCTTTAGAGACACCTTTACATAAAGAGTCATGCATCTTAAACTTTATAATTAATGGGGTTGTATTTTATATTTGTTTGTAAATAATTTGAGGGAAAATAAACTGTTGAATTTCCTCTTTGTAATTAATACTTGTGGAACCTAAGGGCTATATTAGAGAAATAAACTCAATGGATCTGTATTTGTCTGAACTCTTAAGTCAAATCCATTGAGTGCATCAACAGCTTTTTGATACTGAACAGGAAGATCCAATTAGATAAATAAACTGTTCATTTCCTCCAGGAAAAAGACATTAAAAAAAAAAAAAGGGGAGGGGGCATGGAGAGAGGAAAAAGAAGGAGCAAACTGATCCAGGCAAGAATGCCATATGGAGGAGAACATATGCATGGACATTTCTGAGAGGTTCAGGACAGTAACAGGGAAGAGAAATGTCACTCCTGTGCTTGATGAGAGGAAGGTAATGTGAGGGAGAAAAGAACAGAGTGGGTCATATGGAGAATAGTCGTTTAAAGCTTCCTCTGTGCCTCAGAGAAAGTTGCAGTTGGAAAAATATTAAAAATAAAAATAGATTCAAAATGCGATTGCATTGATTATGACAGAGTCTGAGATGATTTATTGACTAAGTAAGTGTGCTACAGGAATGCTAATGAAGTGAGGCATCTTATTCTGCATCCTAGAAGAATGGATACTTCTTACCTTGATTAGTAGGCTGTCATGTATGAATTGCAACAGTTTTTAACTTTCTGCAGTTTATCTTACATAGTGCTTAATAGTTGAACTTTGTGTTGCACAGAACTTTTTAGCAGCCTTTGGTCTCTCTCGGGCATTTCATGATTTACTGCAGTACCAAGATTTGGGATGCAATCAATGTTTTATATTGCTGCTAAGTTTTGAGCAGAAGCTTATAGGACCATGTAAACTTTTTTTGTTGTTGTTCTAATGATTTTTAATCTTTCACGTTAGTTAAGTCTTAAGATTCTCCACTTCTTTATTTGTGAATAGTATAAAATATTTTTATGCATCTTCTTCAATTCTCAAATCTCATATCTCATTTAAAAAAAGAAAGTGTTTTACTACTCTATAAATCTATTCCATAATATTGAATTTAAATGTGCCATAGTAATTTCTGCTCTTTTTACATCTTCTGCAAAAGATGTAAAAAGACTCCTTGGAGTGGGAGTCTTTTCTTTGGGGTAGGGGTACTGTCTTAGTTTTCATTTTAGAGGGAAGCTTATGCAATTTTGGTACTTGAGTAAGATTTCTCATGTTATCAGCAATCCTCTAAGCACATATTTGCTTTTGCTATAAATAGGTATCTCAGTTCCTTTAATATTAAACCTGTGGCCCTGAATGCTGCAAGAGTTCTTTCTGGCAGCATTTTGATTTTGTCAACGCCTATTTACATTTGATCTGTTACTTTCGTCCTTTCCCAGAAAACTAATCCCAGTTTCTTTGCAGATTTCTTGCTAGCTGGTGTTATTAGTGTCACATATATAAGTCCCTTCTCAACCGAAGGGAAGGTAGAGGTTATCTGACACTATTGTCTTTACACAGTTAAGACTGAGTCACGGGTTCTTTATGATGTCATGTTTTCTACATGTTTAAAATAACAGATATTTCTGTATCCGTTAGATTGTAACAGTTATACTTCACTGATAGTCTTGATTATCAAAGTCATATCTAACTGACTGACTGTGTTTGGGTTTTTATTTTTGCTCTCACACTTTAGGGTTTTTATTTTGCTCTCAAAACTCTGTAAATTTTTATTTTTTTTTAAAGCCTGGATCTTCAGCTCCATTATACATCGAGCAAACAGAGGAAACAGAACCACATGTGACAGATAGTACTGAATTATATGAGGATGGCCCCCTTCTTGGGCGCTCAAAAGCAATTGCAACTAAGACGAAGGAGATTGAACAGGTGAGTCCTCTTGGCATTTTGTCACTGATACAGTACCTGTGTAATAGTTTGATCTGCTAGTAATATGTTGATTTATTTTTTCCTCCTTCTTGGAGCATAATACAAATGTAATCTGATTTTATGAGATGATGTGATAATAACATCTCCTTCTATTTAATTCCATACATTACTGAAGAAGCATGGCATTTATCTGCACGTGGGAATTAGTGGTAGTTTTCTGTAACTTACATGCAATTTTGCAAGCCAAGAAAATGGTTGCTTCTTTGAATGATTGTTTTAAAATCAAATATAATACAGATAATATAAAATGTAATTAAAAAATAAGGCTTTATGTGAGATCAAATTATCAAAAATTACTTTTACACTGTAATTTCCTTAAATATATACAGTTTGCAATTGAACGCTATGAGCTGGTTTTTTTTTTCTGGTGAGTTTTTGGGGGGAGATTTTGTTTTGTTGAGTTTTTGTGTTTGTTTTTTTTAAATCAGCTTTGAATCTCGATGCTTTTGTTGTTCTCTGAAGATTAAGAACCTTTAAGTTTTGCTTTGAGTGCAGTGTTTTATATTTGGATGAGGGAGGGATATTGTGTTCAAAATCTTTATTCTTTTCTCTTTTGTGTTGAGTACTTGGGGATTGATTTAATACAAAACAAGATTTCTATTACTCTTTCAATAGTTTTTGAGGAGGTTCAATGGAAGTTTATTCATATGTTAGTTTTAATATCATGTCACTTCACAGTAAGGAAATTATCTGCAATAATCTTCAATTTTGTTTGTCATAAACAATTGAAGTGTTTTGTTTACATATTTTTGTTACTTGAAATGGAGAGTTTGGAGATTTTTCTGATGTAAATGCAACTATGCCCAACTGTGGAAACTTTAAACTTTATAATTTGGTTGGCAGAAAGAGATTACTTTCTTCAAACTTGCTCTGATTTACAGTGTTTTTAATGTATGCCTGGGATGAGGGGAAAGGAAATATAGATCTGTTTTCCCTCTCATGATTATCTCATAATAACATCTTCAAGAAAATAGGTCTCTGGTCTTGTTCAAGATAAGCTTATTTTAGGTCTTTGTTTCCCATCTTCATTCTAAGGGCCTTTGTTCTGTTGTCTGTGAGCGCATTTCCTGTACTGTAACACTGTTGCTCCTTTTTTCTTGACACTGGAAAAACAACTTTTTACTCAGTTGTTTTTGTTTCTTTTTTTTTAGTGTTGACGTTGCATAATCATGTTCCTGGTGAGCATGGCTTTGCATGTGTGGTGTGTCTGGCTGGGATGGAGTTAACCACAGCATGCTCTAACAATGAGGGTTGTGATGCAGTTTGTTTACCCCTGTGTGTCTGATCATTATGTTTGGTAGGGTTCGAATTTATCTCTAAGGAAATCTAGATTATGTTCTGTAAAACAAAGGACTTTTAGGAACTTAGCTCAGAAAAGCCTGAGGAATAGCTTAAAAAGATTTGGATTTCATAGAACCAGTTTCTCCTGTTGTTGATTTGAATATTGAAGCTGTGAGATTTTAGAGTGATACTGGATGCATCTTCAGTGCATATTATTAAACTGAACGATATTTTTTTTTTTTATAAAATCAAGTACTGTGAATTTGTTGAGAGCTAGACAAGATACGTATTTAATTTAAACATAAGACTAAAATGACGTGTATTTTTCAGATAAATGTTTAAAACTGACTTCTGCTTCAGTAATTAAAAAAAAAATCCAGAAAATTTATTGTTGTGATAGTCCTGATGATTTTCATAGTTGTGAAGTATTGTGAATCTTCCTGCTGTACATGGAAGCAGTCTCTCTGTAGAAATTTGTACACGGTTCTGTTGACTTTGAGTTGTCAGCATCTAAAAGTAAATTTGGTTTAATTCTGCATGGCTTGAGTTCTCTGCCTTTGAGAAGGAATGAGAGAGGGAGCAAAGAGTGGAATGGAAACTAAATTTACAGTCCTGTGGCGAACTGCTCGCTAAAGGTTCTTTGGGTGAACTTCTCAGTATCATTTATATTGGTTTTACTACTGTTTAACTGAAAGCATATTTCTGGTTTTTGCACAGTAAAATTAGTCCTTAACGTGCAATTTTAATACTATTGCTAGTCATGTGGTGTTGTTTATATAGATGTAATATTTAAATCTTAAAAGTGAACTGTAGGCTATAATACACTTTAAGAATAGGAAGTCTGACTTGATAATGAAATATACATTTCTAAGAAAGCTTTTATATAATTTGTTTCGGATTATTTGTCTTGAAGACTCCAATAACAGCAGAAACATTTTTTGTTCTGTAGACTTTTTTCCAGTTTAATTTCATTCAGGAGTTTAAAATAGGTTGTGAGTACCTAGTTTTAATGTGTTATTGCTGGAATGTAGTTTTCTGGAAAAATTACTAAAATAAAATACTTATTGCAAAGAGATGCTGCAAAAATGGTGAATGAATCCTCCTGCAAAGCAAGATTCCCGAAAGATTGATTTTCAGTCTTCACTGGACAGCTATTAAAATATTTAAAATAAATAAACAAATCAGGGTAGAAATTACTTCTTGTGCCACTGGATATGTGTCTAAGGATTGGTGAGAGTCTAGCTAGTGTTTGAGAAACGGAGGCTTGATTAGAAGACTTGACCCATCACACCACTTCTGCTTCCATCTCCCAAGTTTTTTCTGCTTTCTCTTGGAGCACCAGATCTAGTAGTATTTGCTTTTCAGCTTGTATTTATTCTCATCTTGATTCCCAGGTATTCTTGCTATTCCAAACTCTTGATAAAGCCCTCTTTGCTTTGTTCTCTCTGCCTCCAAAGCTCCAACCAGGAAAAAGAGCAGAATTTTCCAAATATGTACTTCATAATATGATGCTATTTCAGGTAAACCCAGAGGCAAAAAAACTGTGCTGACAGAACATGTACAGTGTGTCGCAATGAGCAAATTCATTGCTGTACAGCAGGGAAACAGGCAGCCTGACGCCCTGGATGGGAAGGGAGGAGGTGGCAGCTTGTGATACAGTCTGTTATTTCTCTTTGGAGAAAACAACAACAAAGTTCCTTAAGCAATTGAATGAAATATTCCTACAGATGTTCTGTTTAAGTAAGTCCATCTCTGTCTTATGTGCCGCTGGTATCACTCTTTTGTAAAGTTCTCTCTACTTTTCCTCTATGTTACAAGAACACTATTGCCAAATTCAGATTTTTTCAGTGGAACATGATTGTAAATGTTCACTCTGGCTCATCAACAAAGTAGTTGTATGTTATTTGTTTGATGAGGGACTTAACTGCAAGCATTCATGTAAAATTATGTAATTTGAAGAAAAATAAAATTCTTTGTGTGCTGACTATGACAGGACAAAAAATGTCAAACAAGTGCTAGTTGCTGTTTGCAATTTAGGGACTATATTTTAAGAGTCTGCAGTTACTTTGCAAGTATGAACTGAAGCTGACATAAGAGAGGAGAATAGAAGTGTGCTCATGGATGAAGGCTCGGAAGAATCTGAACACTCTTTGAACAGAACCAAGAATTATCTGTTTGACTCCCAAACTACAAAAACTCCAAAGCATATATTTAATTTGGTTCCGTTTAAACATGAGGAAGAACCTCTTCCCAGTAAGGGTAACAGAACACTGGAACAGGCCGCCCAGAGAGGTTGTGGAGTCTCCTTCTCTGGAGATGTTCAAAACCCACCTGGACACGTTCTTGTGTGATCTGATCTAGGTGGTCCTGCTCCAGCAGGGGGATTGGACTAGATGATCCTTTGAGGTCCCTTTCAATCCCTAACATTCCGTGATTCGATTTGAAGTCTGCCGGAATTACTTGGGAAGGAAGAACATAGTTCAAGATGCACAGGCACTTGAGAGCATTGCTGAACTGGGACTGCAGACCCTGGAAGTCTCTGGTCTCTTCTTCTCTCTTCTCTTCCCTGAAATGACAGGCATAGTGACAGTATTATAGAAACGTCCAGGTTGGGTGAGACCTCACCTGGGCCAATCTTCTCTTGAAACAGGGCCTTAGATCAGGTCATTCAGGGCTCTGTCAAGTGGAGTCCTGAATATTTCCAGTGAGGGAGACTCCACTGTTTCTCTGGACAGCTTATTTCAGCGTTTCGTTGCTCTTGCTCTGATCTCAGCTGCCATCAGTCCTGCATATTGTTCTCCAGAACATGCTTTCTTTCCACCAAGGACACAGTTTTTGCTCCCTGCTCCCTTTGGGAGTTTCCTGTCCCCATCCTTGGACTGTGGAGTCTCAGCTCCTTTGCTGTGGTCCTCTGCTTTTGATTGACCTTACCTGATGAAGTGAGGGACCTTCTTCATCTAGGCTGGGCTCACCTGCTTTCAGGGAAGGGTTGAGTTCTTTGTGGTTGGTAGAACAGCATCTTTCCTGGCATTTCCACACTGCTGGTACTGGGAAAACTGATCCCTTCCATCCTAGTGCATCTTCTTTTCTTTGTACCTCTTTGCACTAAATGAAAATTCTGCAGCATTAATGTGTCTCATGTTTTAATATGTTATGTGAAGTAGGGTCTAGATCCATGATGTAGCTTTTGATATTCTATTAGTAAGCAATCAGAAACTTGGGAGAGTTTTTTTTAAAGCAAAAAGAGTGAGGTAGGTAGTCTTCTGGGATTTTTTTGTTTGTTTTGTTTTGGGTTTTTTTGAGCCAAGTGTTTCCTTGTGCCGTTGCACATGCCTTTCCCTCTTTCCTTGACAATTATAGTTTTGAAATTTGGTGTTAGATGTTGTCTGAGCACAGTGGGGTAGAAGCGCATTAAATAGGTGTTTAAAAAATTGGTCCGAGTACTTGAGAATAGTGTAACAGAGAATTTTACATTGGCATGTCAAAGTCAGTGAATATTCATAGGTTGCTGATGTAACAATTTCATGTACTTTTTTATATTTTTGCATTTAATAACGTGCAATATACTTTAAAGTATTGGTTTGGATTTGTTTCGTTTCTGTTTTTATATAGTTAAGGATCAGCTTATGCTTTTAGCACATAATGTGCTGAAGTGTGTG